GATTTTTAATTTTGTCAAGCCAGTATACTTCCTTTCTTTTCCCATTTCCGCACACAGTATCTGCAAAATTTCCTGACGGCTCCATGACTGTAGCATTTCACAGGCTCCATGCGATCGTTTTGATAATTCATAGACAAGTTCTCTTTTTTCATCCATACTCAACTTACTGCATTTTATAGGATCAAGTACAAGACCTACAAACAAGAAAAAATAACAGGCAATAATAGAAAGGCTCACAAGAAGAATTTGAAGCATAAAGCGCAATACTCTCCAGAAATTTGAAAACTTCGAAAAATGAATGTTCTAATGGAAAAAAAGCTCTAGAATCACTTCCAACCAAGATCCGTCTTGCAACCTTTTATAAATCCAAATTATAAAAAAGTAATGTACATATCTTTTCAATCAGGAAGGATGATTCTTCAGAGTTCAAATCCATATTCTTTAAAAGCCAATGGTGAAGCCATAAAGAAAATCAGATTCTTAACAGAAGAATTTTACCAACAAGCATTCCCCCAATTATCAAAGACCTTAGTCGTCGAATTAACAAATCTATATTGCCGTTGATTTTCTAGAACAATTTCATTTCTATGGATAATTATGTAAATCAGAGGTCAAACTCAGCAACCAACAGTGGTTGTATCTTATTTACCTTTTCCTATCACTCTCTGTTTGTAGCATGATGTCTGCTTCATCCTTTTCTTTGGATAAAAAAATCTTTTCATTTATGCAGATCAAAAAGAGAAAGAAAAACTCACCAAATGCTGCCATCTTTACAACCAACTACTTATGGAGCTCAGTCTAGATTATCTAATAATTTTCCTGATGATATAAACAAATTAAAAAATAATTCCATAACCCATGGTTGACTTGCATTAACAAAGACATTCCAACTACATCAAATAGAGCCAATCATTGATATAAGAAAAATACTGTTCATCATGTCTGCAACAATTATGGGATCTAGCAGATCATCGTTTGACCTTGAAATGCCAATGGCTCCATATTTCACACAGACTACCAAACGGGTCGATTGGGTAACCTACTCTGTCCTATAATTCAAAAGCCATCATACAACATAAGTTTGTGTCTTCCACAACAAACCCACCAGATGCAGGAATATAAAATCCAAAGAGAACACATAAGAGGCAGTAGATATAACCAGATCACCAAAGCATAAACACAACTGGAATCACCCACTTATCTCAGACCACATAAAGATGCAGAAGCAATGCATAAAGTTATTGTCAAATATATAACAATGTGTATTTCTATCAATACCTACAAAATAACTAAGAATTAGACTCAAAATCCAGAATCTGAAAAATGAAAAGAAAAGGAGAAAAGGGATGAAATTTGAACATCATACATATTAATTATTACAAATCCTTGAAATGAATCAACTTTGATGGCTTTAACAAATAGAAGAGAGAGAGAAAAACAGATACCCAGATGAACATTTGAGAATCTCTCAGACATCCAAGGTACATGAGATAAAAACCCAGAAAAAGTAAATA